GGACTCTTGAGTAGTACTCACCCACCGCCAGGCTTCGAACCTAGGACCTTTTGGTTACAAGACTAGCCAGCTCGTAGACTATTAAAACACTGTGACTCGATCCAATGGCCAGTCCATGAATTCTAACTTCCGCCAATTCACAATACAGCGTGACCACTAGCCAATGTCTTCAGGGAGTATTTGTCCTCACACCCGACCTGCTCCACCCTACTGGTCAGGACTTCTCACTAGAAGCCCCGGGACCTGCCTACCAGAATAGGGCAAGTCACTAGTGAGCATCTCATCGATATTCAATTCAGTTTAGATTCTCCCGTCGATTGATTGGACCAAAGTGCTTGGTTGACATGTGGGGTCTTTGTGCAGATGCTTTGACGATATCTGATGATGTAACTTGAAGTCAGTTGGTTGATGGTAGCTAGCGGTGGAATCCAAGATGCACATTTCACAGCCGACATGTCAACCTGAGATCAACTGTGCGGGTCCAGTCAATCGATGGGAAAATCTAAAATTGAATCAAATAGTTAATAAGACCCATTGCACAAGAAAGAGGTGGCTTTCGTGGCTCAAGTGATCTAGTGGATGACGCTATGGAGTTTGAAACTATGGGTGCTGTGTTTGAGCATCGGTGGGAACTGACCCATTACTGACTCACTGGGGGGGGATGCAGGTACACCCAGATGGCGAGTCCAAAATTGGACGGAATGCGTGTTATCCATTGCTGGATTCCAGTGCTAATCACCACCAGCCAATTGACTTCACTACACATAGCTGTTTGTGATCAAGGTTTATTTTGTTTTTCATTCTTTCTATGTGAGACAAATTTCGATTGTTCTTTATTCATCTAACATTTTCTCGTCCCTGTAAAGGGATTATTTATCATACTATTCGGTAGTGGAGATTCGGCTGTGTTATTTCTTTGCAAGTAGGCAAGAAAGCGTTTTAATTTACAGAGAGACATATCACTATTCAAGTATTGGTTTGTAGGGATTTGGTTGATTGGTTACAGGATTTCATCATGAGCTAACATTAGCTAGAGAACCATTGGAAAGCCACCTGGGAGTAGTGAACAGCCGTTTCGTCCTAGTTTGGGACTCTTCAGCAGTACGCACTCACCGGGGTTCGAACTAGGACGAAACAGGTGTCCACTACTCCCAGGTGGCTTTCCAATGGTTCTCTAGCTAATGTTAGCTCATGATGAAATCCTGTAACCAATCAACCAGATCCCTACAAACCAATACTTGAATACCGATTAGATGCTCACTGGCGACTGGCCCTATTCAGGTAGGTAGTGACCTGGGGTTCCAGTGGGAAGTCGTGACCAGTAGGGTGCAGCCGATAGGGTGTGAGGACAAATACTCGCCGAAGACATTGGCTAGCAGTTGCGCTCTATCGTGATTTGGCAGAAGTTAGAATTCACGGGCCACTGGATCGAGCCCAGTGTCTTAATGGTCTCGTAACCAGAAGGTCCTGGGTTCCAACCCCGACGGTGGGTGAGCACTGCTGAAGAGTCCCAAACTAGTCAGAAGAAGCAGCTGGCTGTCCAGTTATCCCAGGTTTCCCAATGACTCTGTAACCAATGCCAGCTCATGATGAAATTCTGTAACCAAACATATCCCTAATTTGAACAGATCACTGTTGAATTATTAACTGTCAATACGTCAGCTTAAGATGCTGTTATTAATTCAGAGCTACTACATTATAATTAGGTGCGTCGATGGTATAGCGGTTAGGGCGTTTGCCGACCATGCATATGGTCCGGGGTTCGACCCCCGGCCGGCGCACTCTTTTACCTCACTGAGCCAGAAATAATCCTGATAAAGAGGAAAGGTTGGGCATGAGGCTAGCAACCCCATCCTGTAAAAGTTAAACACTTCTACAGAAACTTCAAGCCACTAGGTTGGAGCCCTATGTTCCACTGGGAACGTGAAGGAAAAAACAACAATATAATTAACGAATACTAAGGCCACTCATCTAGAAAATCAGTTTTAATTTGATTTTAAGAACAGAACGTTCAGCGAAGAGTCTCTTTTCAGCGGTGAATTCATTCACTTTGTTGTACAATCGCATTTATATATAATTATTTTCATGTGTGTTGGTGTGTGTACATTAGGACTGTTGAACGGAAATAGAAATTGGTTCAGGTTATTATTTACGTCATCAGAGTGTTTCAAAAAAGTGTAATGAATAATCAAATTGTAACTAAGGTTGGGTGGGGGTGGAGTGAAGACTGGTGAGTATTGACACGGGTTGCGTAATGTCGAAGACACCCAGAAAAATAGGACGTTAATCAAGGAGCATGGAGACACGTGTCCAAAATATATTATGTAATAGGTGGAGGGGGTAAATAAAGGGTTAGTTAAGAAGAAAGATATCACTAAAATGTCATACAAAAATTCAAAATAAGCATTATTAGCAACGTAGTCGAACTAGGAATTATACCCGATGTAGAAGGAGGGTAGTGGAGAAGTTTATCTGTGTACATAAATCAGGGTTTCTCTCTAGATTGCTAAGGCCTCGGAAGCTTACCTACCGTCTTGGGGGAGGCTTCTTTTGATTTTGTAGATGTCTCTGAACGGATTCTCCGTGCATAGCAAGTGATCAGTGTTGAATATATGTCCAGTTATAGCACTCCTTACTGATCCATTGTTACCTATTCGTAGCCATGTGGGATGATGTCCTTTAACTCTTTTGGATAAAACACGCATCGAACGACCTATATATATATATATATATCTACATGAGCAAGTAAATTTGTAGATACACATAGAAGTGGTCAAATGTGATAGTTTTTATCTTTGAAGTTGTCGAAGAACACTGGGTGTGTTGAGAATACCAATGATAATGTGGAACCAGAGAATGCTCTCTTCAGGACTTCATTCTTTTATATTCCTTAGGATATCGGCCATTGTACAGCTAAGTGAATGTATTGACCGAACGTTTTGCTCTTATATTCATGGGTATTTTCCGTGAATTAAATTTGATTTCACTTCAAAAATAAATTATCGAGGTGCCCATCTGGTCAATATGACTGTATGAAGAAAAATTTCCGTTAGATGTCCAAACTATCGCAAACTCTGTGAAGGGTGTATTCCTAAGAGGTACTGTGTTTTGACAATCAAGACACTTTGCTCTAATATTCTGAATGGAATATTGAAATTGCACCCAGTTCATTCAGCATAACTCAACTGTAGAATACAGTTAACTGCCAGTCAGTCGATTAATATGCGAATTTGTTATTGAAAATTAATTAAGCCTTGTATCTGTTGCAGACTTACTCACGAAGAAAACCATGGACAGTTAGACGTCACAAATGTTCAAGTGGTATATCGCGCAAAATGGTTGGATCAGGTACACAAACAAGGTAATTCAATGTTGTATAACGGATGAAGTTACATTTTACCTTCTCCGCCTTTTATAAAGACTCATCTATGCATTTCTGTCACTCTAGTTAGTAACGAAGCGGCCAGTTGAGAAGACTGGTTTTGGCGGTTGATTTAAAACCTGTTAGACGTCTGGAGGCAGTCAGCCTCAAGCTTAACACTAAGGTTTCATTATAAAAATGCGGTCTATCGTTGTATGATCCATTCAACAGCTTAATTCCACTTTCTTTCATTCTTGAAGTGTTTGGCTATCACTGTTTGATGGAGACGTTCATTGGAAGTTGACATTATTAACACAATGCATGAAGGGATGTTCGAAATCTATTATCTCTAAATCACAAGCAGTTGACTAATATCATTCCATTTATTGTTATGGTTTCTGAGATCTGGAAATTTTCAAAATAGTCTTCACCAAATCCTTGGTGAATATTGCTAACAGGGTAATAAGCTTTCACGATATTTAAGTGTTCATGAAGCTAATCTTTTAGTTTGTCACATTAGGGAGTGATTTCCCCAAGTCTACAGATCCAATATACGTTTATTCAGACTCCATAAAAGGTATATGAGCAATATCTGAACTTGTGAACACGCATTCGTCTTGAATCCATCAGGATTAAATGTTGTATTTTTGCATTTTTTATTTCTTTTCTCTCAACCATTTTCTCTGGAACATTTTACAGGAACTTTACGCCCTACTGTCAGAGATTTAAGTAGTATGAGTGTATTCAGTAAAGGTTTTCCCATGTATTACTCTCAGCAGGTATACGTGGTATTCATATGAACTGTGATCAAGATTTGACCGAAAAGTACCAAAATAATTGACAGCTGTGTGAGAAGTAGACATTTGTAAAAATCTCAGCGAAATTGACAATCAGTAATACCAACGTTTCGTTCGGCCAACTGGTCTGAACTTCTTCAGGGAAATTAATCAAAATTACAATAACAAGGGTTTATATTATAAAAAGTACATCGCTCGTTTTTAAAAACTTTGTTCAATCATATGAGGCATGAATCAAGCATCAAAATATAATAAAAAATTATATAAAATGTGATCAGAATTTGACCTGAGACTTACAATTATTAGTCTACTTTTGTTAAACACTTTAAACAGAGTGTATTTTTAATTTGTGGATGGTGATTAGCAGTGGAATCCAGGATGCACATTTCGTCCTATTTTGGTACTCGGCAGCTGGATTTATCTGTACTTTTCATCAGAATTTTAGCGATTACGTTTGACAAAAAGTTCATGGTCGTAGATAACTGAATATGAAAAATGTATATGTGTATGTGCAGTACAGTGGTGTGTGTGTATGGGCAAGCAGTTGTAAACCGTTTATTAGCCTGTCCATAAGAAGACATAGACAATTGGGAATTCAAATCAAGTATGATTGATAGTGAGACGTATCCATTTTTATTTATTCATCAGGACTTACCGTGCATCAGCTAACATGACACCTTCAAGTCTGTTCAAACTTTTGCGGTTCACCCACATATGTAGGTCCTTTACTGTCGGTGTTTCTTTATTCGAAACAAAAGTTTTCTGAAGAGCTTTGGTCCTATTAAAGCCTATCTTGTGTCTGGTTTCTGTCGAGTACAGTACAATCGCTGATCTATTTTCTAGCTTCTTTAAATCTGCAAAGGTCTTTGGAACCACCTATAGACACTGTTTATGCTCTTTCACCTTTACATTCATCTGTCTAGAAGTATCTCCTGAAAAATATGAAGTCACAATCCCCCACAGTTGATCTGGTACACACAATTCTGTTACTTGTCTTCTTCTATTTTATCCTTAACCTTCAACGGTGAAGAGCGTCAGGTGCCAGTTACACGAAAATACACTATTATGTCATAATTGTTAAGGGTTCACTTTATCTCATCTGATGTTTCTTTGCTGCAAGGAATCATTACTGTGCTGACGCAATTCGCAGCAACAGATTTCGATTCATCCTTATCTTCACACTATAAATATCTTTCTATGAAGGCTTTGGGGGTAATTATTTGATTTAAGAGTGGAATGAAACTCCTGATCTCTACCTCCTCAGTAATTAGACATTTCACTCTATTAATCAGATTCTTGACCACAGTTACTTTGGCTGTAAAGGGATGTGCCGAATAGTAGTAGTTTAGGTATCTTCCTGAATTTATCAGCTTTCTGAAAATGTTTACTTAACTTGTTTCAGTTGCGCTGAGATTTTTTTTGCGAATATTTATTTTATACGTGGAATTGCTTTTCCATACCCATTATACTATAAATAACCACTTCATTTAAATTCTTCATCTCACTAGTTAAACATGAGTCATAGTTATATTATGTCTAAGGTTGTCATCACTGCTAGATATAATTATGGCATGTCGAAGCTTCTGTAATATTCTCACGTGTAGTCCCTTTGGCCCTATTTAGAGATGGAACTTTTGCTTCTTTAATACTGGTGTTAGCATGAGGCTTATGAAATTCTACAGTGTAATTTTTAAGTTGACAGCGATAACATTTTATTTTCTGTCTACTAATTTCTGCTTTCTCAATACTAGGCTGTCAAGACATCGAAGTGAAGGATCCCTACTGCACCAGTGCCCCTACTGTGAAACTTTAATGTTACCTGTAAATCCACCAAATCTAACCAAAACAAAACGCTCCAAACTGGAAAGAGTTTTCAGCTATCCAAATGAGAATCAAGACCCAACAACAGACCACCACCACCACCACCACCACCAAAAACAACAACAACAAGAAAGGGAAGAGGCCATTTACTACTACCAACCAAAGTATAAACAGATTGTTGTCTCACACAAAACAATCCGTATAAAACAAACGAATATCAAGAAAAAAACCACAGACTCACATTCATCGGTATCGCCTATATTATGTGAAATAAAGTCGTGATCATCATCAGACAGACCTCATAGATCTGTAAGTCGATGCCGTGAAATACCAATTCGAATACAACGTACCGATTCTGATGACAATGGAAATAATAAATTATCGAATTACTTTTCATTACATTGTAAAATTAACCCATCCCAAAAGACACTCCGCGCTGTTCTTCTTCTCAAGCGACAGTTAGTGTTGTTGAAAGTTCTGGCAATGATGATTCAACTGCTTTTTTAAAAAAAAGTAACACTATGAAGAATATTTAAAAAATTAAAAGGGAAATGATACCGTCTTTCTTTTACCATTCAAATAAGTAGTAGTATTATTACATTTTCTTTTTTTACTCTGTTTTGCTATTTACTTTTAATTGAAATTTCTATCGTTGACAATAAACTTGTAAATTATTTATCATTAACTTTTATTTATTTTATGCATAATTATATTCAAACTTGTCGAGGAATAAATGAATCATTTATTCTGGGGGAACTTATCATATAAATTTTCATCAAACTATAAATGTACTACTCAGTATGTGTAGCTCAATCAGTAGTATAGTTTGGTTGTGGAAGGGTTATTCGTATTCTTATGCAGCAAGAGAAATACACGTTTACTAGTTGACATTTTGATTGATTTTTTCAGTGAAACGATGGTTGGATAACATCTAATAGAGTGACGAAAATCAACATGTGTGTGTTAATTGTTTTTTCGTGTTTTTGTTTGTTAACTCGGTGTTGATGATACTTTAGAGAGGAGCGTTTTAGTTACATACATTATTTTAAGTGTGCATGGAAGCATAAAATTCCAAAATCTGTACTTTTATTGACTATCTGATTTAGTAGTATAGGCATTGTTTACTGGATTTCATCAAGAGCTGACATTAGTTAGAGAACCACTGGAAAACCTGTCAGAGAGTACTGGAGAGCCAGCTGTTTCTTCAACCTAGTTTGGGACTCTTCATCAGTACTCACCCACCGTCAGGGTAAGAACCCCGGACCTTCTGGTTACAAGACTAGTAAGGTCGTAGACCATTAAGACACTGGGACTCGATCCAGTGGCCCATGAACTCTAACTTCTACCGACCAGTACTTCAGCATAGGTATTCATGGATGTTGTGCAATTAGTATAGTGTTCTCTGAGCTGGTTGGTTTATTTGCGGAGCTTTCGTCGTCTTTCTGGACGGCATCTTCAGCGCAGCATTTAGCATAAAGTTAAATGATTTAAAAATCTCCATGAATGATAATACAATTGCGTCTCCTGGTGACCAACCATCTTCATATATGTATTGACCGTTTTCTATTGATTGGGATTTTAAACTTCCTGGTCATCTGATTTGCTTTTTATTAGTTGATATATTTCATCTATATTAACGTGTTTATTAATGGTATTTTCGTTTGAGTACCAGGCTTCTAGGAATTCCCTGGCACATTTGGTGTTTCCTCTGTTTAAGATTTTAATATTATCCCAATCAAAATGATGTCCATAATTATCGGTATGCATTGATACTAAAGAATTTATGTCATGTCTTTTTACGCCTGACTTGTGTTCTTGGTTTCTTATTCGAAGGGGACACCCACTTTGGCCGACGCAATACCTGTTACAGTTCATACAATTTATTTTGTAAATGGTGTTAATTTTATCTCCTTTTTCTATCGGATTTTCTGGTTTGCATAATTTCAAATTGAGTGATTTGACTGGCTGGCTTGTGTGGTATATCTATATCAGACGGTTTCATTATTCGAGCCGTTATTTCAGAGATATTTCTGATGTATGGTAGGATGAATTTCTTTTTGGTCTTTGGTGATGGTTCTTTGTTGGTGCTTTGATTCGACTTTAAACACTTTTTGATGAATTTTTTGGATAACCATTCTTCTTGAAGACCGTTTGTAAGTATTTTTCTTCCATTCTTTTCAACTCTGGTGTGCTACACTGTTGTGTTTGAACTCTTCTAAACAATGTCTGCACACAGTTTCTTTTGTGAGTAATTGGATTATTGCTAGAATAGTTGAGTATTTGATCTGTGTGCGTTGGTTTTCTATATACTTGTGTTTCTAAATTCCCTGTGTTGGTTCTCCTGATTAAGACATCTAAAAATGGGATTTTGTTATCTAATTCTTCTTCTCTTGTGAATTTGATGTCCTTAAATATGTTGTTTATTAATTTATGAGTATATACTAAATCATTTTTCTATAGTTTGGTTTGTAAGGATTAGTTATGTTTTACGAGTTGATCACGGATTGATATCAGTTAGAGAACCATTGAAAACCAGGGAGTACTGGACAGCTGTTTCGTCCTAGTTTGGGACTCTTCAGCAGTACGCACCCACCAGGATTCGAACCCAGGACCTTCCGGTTACAAGGCGAGCTCGTATACCATTAAGCCACTGGGACCCGATCCAATGGTCCTTGAATTCTAACTTCTGCCAATTCCGAGGTCCACCGAGGGAGAGGGCTCTCGAGTGGTTGCGCCACAGGTTGATCCTGCATGCCGTTCTCGTCTCGCAAGAGGCAAGGATGCGCGTGTTTGGTTCTCCTGAAAACCAATACCCAGTCAATGGGTGTATCGTGGTGTGAATATGGCAGAAGTTAGAATTCAAGGACCATTGGATCGGGTCCCAGTGGCTTAATGGTATACGAGCTCGCCTTGTAACCGGAAGGTCCTGGGTTCGAATCCTGGTGGGTGCGTACTGATGAGGAGTCCCAAACTAGGACGAATCAGCTGTCCAGTACTCCCTGGCAGGTTTTCCAACGGTTCTCTAACTAATGTCAGCTCATGATGAAATCCTGTAACCAATCAAATCCCTACAAACCAACACTTGGATTATTAAATTCCCAGATGTCACCCCCTGTTGTCAGCTGAAAGTATATGAGTCTTAGGTTGCATTTTTTTGTTATAAAATTTCATACAGGCGAATCAATCAATTTCTTCAGGTGATTTCTACTTCTTGTTGACAACAGTTTTAACAAAATTGGCATTAATGGATCTGCAGGCAGCAGGAGAATAAATTACTTCCTCTTTTAAACAAATATGAAGTAACTGAGAGAGAGAGAGAGAATGTGTTACAGTTCAAAGAAATCTGACTCAACTGGATGGTTGCTGAAGGTCTATGGCTAACTGACCTATGAAATAGGCTATCCGTCATCTCTCATAATCTCTAAATTAAAACTGTATACTGATATAATCAAAAAAAATATCAAATATTTTACGCGGGAGAGAAAATTGAGTCAGTGATAACGCTTCAGACCGTTAGGCGTTCAGTTAATTAATTCATCTGGGCAATTTTGAGGTAACACCTATAATTTCAGTGACAAAGAGAACAGAAGAGAGCTTTATTTTGATAAATCTTGTCATTGACAGCATATAGTTCATTTCATAGAATGTATATTAGCATATGATGTATTTCATTTAAAGTAATCCCATATTAGTTTGTTTATTAGATATATCATACAGTGAAACAGTATTACTTACTGGATGACACAGTTTCGAATAAAATTTATTGTTCATAATCATATCAATTGTAATCACTCGACTTTGAAACTTGATTTTTATAGTTTTCTTTGTTTTCTCCTATTTGTCGTAGGGCTAGTAGAATTTTCCAGATATCAGAGACAGGTGATGAGTCATTTCGATTACATGTATTTGCAGTTGATTCGATAAATAAAGCTTCTCTTATCAATCTCTCCCTATACCCTGTGATATTAGATTTTAAAACTGTCATCCTATACCATCCCATCCTATTGTATGGTTGTGTGTAACTGCATGTAGTGCTATAGCTGAACTATTCTCTAGATTTCATATCTTATTTGGGTCAACCAATCTAGATTTTGTTTGGTTTTTATGTTCGGCTATTCTGACTGCCCCTGTTCTACTAGTATGACCTATGTATTTGACCTCACAATCATTCCAGTAGGGTATTAGATAAACTAAATTTTTTTGTTTTAATGGCTCTACAGGATCCTTTAACCGACAAAGCTTGTTTCTAATTGAGTTTGTGGGTTTGAATGCCACTTTTATTCCTGCCTTGTTAAGAATTCTGCCTAAGGCTTCCGAGGTTCCTTCCTTGTATGGGATTACTGTTGATGATTTAGATTCCTTATTGTTGGTGTCGTCATTAATATTATTATTATTATTATTATAACTATTCTTATTATTGCCACTATCGATACTATCATTATTTTATTTTTACATTTACTTACATATTTCTTGACTAGTTTATCCGGATAATTATAAGGTTTCAAGGCTTCTTTTATGTGTATCACTTCCTGTCTTAGATTTTCCTTTCTACTACTTAGTTTTTGTGCTTTATCATTTAAGCATTTCCCTAATCCTATTTTTACTGACATAGAATGGGATGATCGGAAGTCCAAATATCTGTTTGAATGTGTGTGTTTCCTGTAAACACTAGTGTTTTACTACCCATCTTCTTTCCTTTTTACGTTGCAATCTAACATTGGAAGCTCCCCTTCCTGAATTTCGAATTCATAAGTGCTTTGAATTGCCTCAACCTTTGAGTTGATGTGTTCGAAAAATCTATCTAACTGCAAATACATGTAATAGGAATGATGCAACACCTGTTTGGCCAGATATCTGGAGAATTCTACTACCCGAACGACAACAAATAGGAGAAGACAAAGAAAACTATGAAACTCAAGTTTCAAAGTCGTGTGATTATACTTGATGAAATGATTATGAACAGTAATAAATTTTATTCGAAACTTTGTCATCCAGTAAATAATAATACTGTTTCACTCACTGTGTGATACATCTAATAAACAAACTAATATGGAATTACTTACTACCACCTTGCTCAAGTTTTACACATATATTAATTAGTATTACTTTTCCATTAACTATATATATATATATATATATATATATATATATATATATATATGCGTATATATTTCTGTTCATCATTTGTTCCAAATAGTGGAGCTTCCAGAAATCATAGAAACAAATATCACCTGTGTCTTCTTAAAAAGTTTGATTTATTCTTTTCACTTCCTGTCTTTGATCAAAGTAGACTGAATAAGGCTGTTTGCAATCAAGAAGACTCAGTCATTTCTGTTATTATCCTGCATCGTTATAATTTATTTCCTACACTTTTGCGAATGAATGTTCAGCGTTTGATTTCTCGTATCCTCAGTATTATACACACACACACACACTATGATTTTATACAGTTTCGATGTAGTTTAATAGATTAAATGTCTAAATATTACTATGCTCCTTGTATTATCCTTTTGATTACATATGTCAAGTGATGAGTATATTGCCAAATGAATGAGAAATACTCAACGCTAATTAATGGCTCTCTGTCACAGGGATCATTCGTATGTTCAACTTTCTGGAAAGCTTTCAGGTGATTATTTTTATTAGTATGACTGTTGATGTTATTATTATTATTATTATCGTGACCGTCATCATCATCATCATAATCATCGAGGCAGTTAACTAACTGTATCCTTTAATACAACACGTATCAGTGATCTCGAATTCATCATAGTGACAGGTCACAATTATGTGTATAGTTACAGA